TTTTTTCCTACAGGAAAAGCTGCAGCTGAAGATCCTGGGCTGGAAAATGAGGAATTGGAGCCTGATCCCAAAAATTCTGATCCTAAAAATTCTGATCCCAAAATTCCTGATCCCAAAAATCCCCCAGAGCAGGACGAGGTTGGGAATTCTGGGAAAGACCCCAAGGCTGGGCCAGGTAATTCCTGGAATTTCTGGAATTTTTGGGAATTTTTGGGAATTCTGGGAGGGAAAAAAAATGAGAGAATGGGGGAAAAAAACCACAAGAAAATGGGAGGAAAATTGGGAAAAATAAGGGGAAAAAAAGGAAGAAGAAATCTGGGAAAATGGGAATTAAAATTTTGGGGAAGTGGGGAAAAAATTTGGGGAATGGGAATAAAAAAAATGGGGAAAAGGGAGAATGGGGGAAAAAATGGGAAAAGGGGGAAAAATAGGAAAAAAACCCTGGAAAATGGAAAAATAAATCTGGAAAAATAAAGCTTGGAAAAGGGAAAAAATTGGGAAATGGGAATAAAAAAATTGGGAAAAAAATGGGAGAATGGGGGAAAAAATTGAGGAAAGGGAATTAAAAAATTGGGGGAAAAATGGGAAAAGAAATTGGGAGAATGGGGGGAAAAAATTGGGAAAATGGGAATAAAAAGGTTGGGAAAATGGGAATAAAAAAAGTTGGGAGAATGGGAAAAAATGGGGAAAAAATTGGGAAAATGGGATAAAAGTCGTGGGAAAAATGGGGAAAAAAATTGGGAAAAAACTTGGGAAAAATGGGAAAATAATTGGGAGAATGATAGAAAAAAATTTGGAAAAATGGGAATTAAAAAGTTGGGAAAATGGGGGGAAACTGGGGGAAAATGGGAAAACTAAATCTTGGAAAATTTGGAATAAAAAACTTGGGAAAAGGGGGAGGAAATGGGGAAAAATTTGGGGAGAATGGGGAAAAAATTGGGAAAAAGGGAAAAAAACCCTGGAAAATGAGAAAAGAAATCTGGAAAAATGGGAAAAATAAAGTTTGGAAAAGAGAGAAAAAAAAATGGGAAAAATGGGAGAATGGGGGAAAAAATTGGGAAAATGGGAATTAAAAAGTTGGGGAAAAATGGGAAAAGCAATTGGGAGAATGGGGGGAAAAATTGGGAAAAAAAGTTGGAAAAATGGGAAAAAGTCTTGGGGAAAATGGAAAAAAAACCTTGAGAAAGTGGGAAAAAAATTGAAAAAATGGGAAAATGTTGAGAAAATTGGGAAAGAAAAT